ACTGGACAACTGATCAATGGAGTCGTGTCCTCTTTTCAATGTGCTTACATGTTTTATATGTGTTATATATGTGCTTTTATATGTGTTTTACAAGTGTTTTGTATGTATCTTTATATGTGCAAGTGTATGTACTTGTATGTGTATGTATATGCTGTAATTAGTGTCTAACAGTGTCTAACAAACCAAGGAACATATCATCCTCCTATCGATCAAAACTAATGTATTCCTAAGACGCCTCTGTATGGCCATGTACAATTACGTAAAATTCTTCAATAAACTCCCGAGGTGGCCTCATGAGGCTCCTAGGAGTTTCTGCCACTAGATAGGGGAGGACGTGGGACATATGCGTGTTTACCTCTGTTAAACATCAGGCGTCCCCGTCCTCCGTCACCTGTCACCTGTCCTCTTTACGGATGAGAGTCGGTTCAGCACCAGAAGCGATTCTCAAAGCGTTTTCATTTGGAGAGAGGTCGGGACCCGGTTTTATCCCAGTAACATCAAGGAACGACACCGTAATGGTGGTCCTTGAGTTCTTGTCTGGGGAGGCATTATGCTGAACGGATGAACTGAGCTCCACGTTTTCGACAGAGGGTCTGTAACCGGGGATCGCTATTGTGAGGAGGTACTCCATCCCCATGTGCGTCTGTTCCGAGGTACCATTGGTCCAGACTTAATTTTTATGGATGAAAATGCACGGCCACATCGGACTCTTGTTGTTGAGGAGCTACTAGAAAGTGAAGATATCACTCGAATGGATTGAGCAGCGTACTCCCCAGATTTAAATCCCATCGAATATGTGTGGGATGCTTTGGTGAGACGCAATGCAGCACGCTTACATTCTCCGGAGAACACCCAACAACTCAAACAGATGATGATTGAGGAATGGACACTCCTACCGCAAGAAATGTTGCACCAGCTGTTTCTGAGTATGCGGAGACGGTGCGAAGCAACCATTGCAGTGAGGGGAAGGCATATCCCATATTAAGGAACATCTGCTTGTTGTTCTTCCTCTTGGATAGACAATCATGAGTCACGATACTATGCGTTCAATAAAGCTTGTTTTTGTTTGATTCCATACCGTATACATTGTATTTCTTTTTCAGCTCCGGCACTTTCGTCATCCTTTACGTACATAATACTTTCCTTCATTTCTGCATTTCATGTCTCTCAGTTGATTTCGCGTGGAGTTATGGCAAAAGACCCTGTTGTTGCTTAAGTTTTGCACAACAGTGCATTTACAAACATCCATGCCTTGGAAAATGGTTTTTTTTAATAATGACGAATATCCAGAAATCATAAATTTATTGAAACGTGTTAACGTACCTAGCAACATGTTTTACCTGATCAAGTATTTTTTTCATGCTCACACTGTAGAACTTTCTCTAGGTAATATTACGATAGAATATACTTTGGAAAACGGCTGTCATCATCCATCAGTCTTTGGAAACTTTTTGTGGAATATAACAATTCTTGAGCTATTAAAATAATTTTCTGCATTTAAAACTGTTTTAAAATTGCTTTTGCGGATGATCTGCTTTTAATTGTTAAATGCAAAAGTTTCGCAGTGATAAATTACACAGTGCAATTAACAAAAAATATATCCTCTTTTCAAATCTTCGTTTGATATTTTCCAGTTATGAAAGAAGATCATGCATTTGCGACTTGCCAAATAAAGAACTGAATGAATGGTAATTACTCTATAATTTAATATTCTGACATATTTAACACTAAAAAAATGGTTGCATGAAGGAAAAAAACTCATATTGTAATTCGTTTGAAATAATTACTTTTCAACAGTCGAACTTCATTTTGCAAAACATTTAGACAGAAAAACAATCCCAATACCACCTTTTAACAACGTTAGAAAAAAATTAAATCCTTCTTAATTGCTATTACTTTAACCCTCTGGCTGATCATCTCGCGATTTCCACGAGCAACTCATATGTAGCAAAATTTGCTCATCCCGCGATTTCCACGGGCATATATGTTTTTCTACCTGTATTGAGGAGCGCAGCCCGTTTTTTCCCCGTTTAACCATTGAAATAATTTATATACAGTATTAGGCCTTTAGTTTACGTTTTGGCCAACAGATATCATTAGTAGTCCACTTAATTGCGGCATTTGAAGGCACGTGGTATTAGCGAACTTCATTTTTTGCCGCTTTTTTCTTGCAGAAGTAGCGGCTAGAATACGTCCACCGATTATCTCGATTATTTAATTAACCTATTGAATTACTAATTATATTTATTAATTAGATTAATAATTAATTAGATATATTGTATCTGGTGAAAAGACTGTGAAGTTGGACTTTGCCTTGAACCCTGTTTTGAACTCTACCATACTAAACTGCATTTCTAAGGTATTTTCCCCTCAGCGCTTTGTTTTTTATTTTCTAAAATTTTATACATTTTACTTTTTTTTATATTATGCAATAAATAGAAATTAACTGTAATTCGACTGAAATTTATTTAAAAAAAAATATTTTTTTGGTGATAACATCTGAAATTGTTTTTTCTGGCAACTTAATTTCTCATGATAAAAGTCTATATAAAAATATTTTCTAGAAAGATAAAGTGCATTTTTCAATTCTCCAATATATATAGATTTAAAATGTGCAACAAAAAATACGCAATTTTTGGAAGCGATTTCGGTCCACAAACTGAGCAGTTAGAAATGCACAATATTAATTAAAAAATTCTTCAATTCGCATGAAACTTTTGTGCTTTATGGGAAAAGTTACGCATTATGTGATTTGTTAAAATTAAAAACCCTTCTATAAAATCATTTCCGTTCTACCGAAAACCTTAAAGAAAGATGATTTTGTAGGATTATTAGAGGGATTAAGAAATCAATATTGTTGTCACTTGAGCTAAGAAAAATACTACCACTTAAATAATAACAGTATTTTGATAAATTCAACGAATTGATATTTTATTTCTGCAAAAGCATGGATATGATTAAGTAAAACAGAACTTTATTCCCAGTTTGGCAAAGAAAATGCACCGAATTTCTTAAAAATCCAACTTTTGCAGTACTTTCATGCTAGCTGAATAACTATTTAGAGCAAAATTTGTAAACGTTTGGTACTTTTGTAGTAACTCTTTGCAGCAATCGTAACAGTGCCTATAATAAAAATAACTAAAGTTCAATATAAACCAAGAAAAACAGAAAACTTTCAAACATCAAGTTTGGCCAAATAATTTTACATGTAAACAGGGTATTTGACAGCGTGGCTAAATAACGAAATTCAAAGCATCTTTGCGGAAAAAATACTGCTCATAAAAAGGAAAACTTAGATTGTGTTTCAAAAATGTTTTAATAATACAATAAGATTTAATAAATAAAAGCTTAAAACAAAACAATTAGAAAACTTATTACTTCAAAACATTCCAGTGCATTTTTAAAGGTAATAGATTGCTTTAATTTTATTCTAATTTTCAGGGAATGGTATCAATATCAACATATTCTTTGAAATTATCAGCAAATTTTTGTAGAGGAAAAAAATCTTGAATATTATGCATACTTATTAACAGCAAGTTGATGATAATTTGAAATTTCTCTCACTTTCAGTGATGACTGACACTGTTGCAAGAGTTTCTTCCAGAGAATGCTTAAACCATAAATTTAGTTTTATCCAACAATATTTAAATTTTCACGTCAAAAATTATTTTCACGCCTCTTAAATGAATTATTATAAAATGGCTTAGTTCTAAAGCTTACAAATACTTGAACAACAAATTTTGTTCCGATACTGATTCTGACAAAGCATTTTTTAAAATTTCCCCATGCATGATTAATTTTTTGAGCTTATCTGTAACTTTTGCATTTTTATTAAACACGTTTTAAAAGTTAACTTAGCAAAAATAAAATTTTATTATCACTTGAAAATGCACGTTATATAAAGCATTATTGTGAATATAGAAATTTTATAAGTATGTTGAAAACTACGCAGAGAAAGAAACTGTATGTATCCCAAGGACATTATACCCATATAGGAAAAGAATGCCAAAAATGTTTCCTAATGGAATGCATGCAATGTAATATTTATTTTTACAAAAGTGTGCAATATGTTATGAACCATGTTTTAGCCTGGAATACTCGAGAATCGCTTTTAAAAGTTTTATTCACCTACGTTAAATATAGTAGTAACAACAAAATGGTGAAAATGGGTTTTAGCCTCGGTAGGATTCACTCCAACAGAATCATTAAAATATTCCTGCAAATGGGTTTCAACAGCCACTTTGTATGTTATACTTCACTAATACACAGATTTTAATGTATCTACATAAATAAACACATGGTTATGAAGAAGAAGTAAAAATGTACCTACTTTGTAATTATTGAATTAACTTTCGACTATCCGCCAGAACATGCAAACAGCTGCCATTAAAATTACAAGACATGGGAAAATAAGACGTGCGCTGAATTGCTTTGATTGGATGCAAGACACTACTTGATGCAAAACATTGATTGGATGCAAGACACTACTTGATGCAAAACATTGATTGGATACAAGACACTGAAATGATGAAAAATTAATCGACTGCGGAAATCTTACCATAAAATAAAAATCAAGTGTTTTGGTGTTAAATCTTATTTTAAGTTATTAAATAGTGCAACAATGAGCTGACATTTTTTAAGTGTGTGTATGTATATATACTATATATATGTGTGTACCTCCTTTTTTTTTTTTTTTTTTTTTTTTTTTTTTCAAAAATGCACCCTTTTCTCACGTAAGGAAACGCTAAATGGATGACGAAAGTATTTAATTAGAATAAATGACTTTTAAGTGTCAATGAATTTTTATAAATTAGTTATTGACTTGACTAAATGTTCGTTTTGGATACCCTGTAACGAATGATAATTGATATTTGGAGAAATAATTACATTAGACAAAGAGAACTGGTTGATCTTAAAGGCTGAAAGAAAAATATATATAGCTCATTAAAAAGGATAAAAGAGTTACAAGGAACACTGTAAAGAAATCAAAACAGGCATACCTACACATGTACCATTTTCATCTTTGTACCCTTTCTTACAAATGCACTTCTTTTCCGTGTTCCAAATGCCAGTGAATGTGCAGTTTGAACCTTCACCACATTCGCAAGCTATAAAGGTAAAACAACAAAGAATTAATATTTTGTATGCGTGAAATTACCAACGTGATAAGTTTTTTAATTAATGCATTAGATTCTTTGTCATTAAGGGATTTTATCCATTGTTCACGGAAAATAAATCAGTGCGGTTCGAACAGCTGTTTATCAGTTAAAAAAATAGGTAGTTCTCCCGCCTTCCTAGCGTGCCTTCGTGATGTAGTTGTTCTGCGCACTGGGCCAGAATTCCAGAGGTCCGTGTTTCGATTCCCGGCGAAAGCGCTGCTAATTTTTCATATTGCCTGCTTCCAAAAATACCTAATATCTCTACAGTGGCGCCCGAACTAAACGGGTTGTGGATGATGACTCTCCACACCCAGGATTTGGCGATTGTGACCTCTGAAAACCCCAGTCGCCCTTTAAAAGAGGAAGTATATAGGGTATTTCTCCCTCCTTCCTAGCGTGTCTTCGTGGTGTAGTGGTTCTCTACGCTGGGCCGGTATTCTAGAGGTCCGAGGTTCGATTCCCGTCGAAGGCGTTTGCTAATTTTTCATCTCTTCGTCTTTTCCAATTAACCTAATGTCTCTACAAGGTTTAAATTAAAAATTAAAAATAGGTTTAGGTTTATTTGATTATGAAGAAGTACTCCTCTAGAGCTATCTCGTAAGGGGAGGGATGCCTTCATGGAGGATTTTCTCATGTAAACTTTACAGATGGGAAAAATCGAGAAAATGCTCAGGCAGCCAACCCGTTCGTGGCGTTCGAGCCTCGGACTGAACTACTACTCTTCAGCTACTTTACCGCTCGGCCGCTGGTGTGCCTTTAATAATTAATAATAAAAGAGTGACTGAGGCGTTTTTCATATACATAGTTATCTGTGAAACTACCAAAGTAATCCAGTTATAAAGTAACTTAGCAAGTTCGCAATACAATTAGCTTAACGTAGTATACAGTCAGGTTATAACTCTAATAAGTGTAGATTAATGTCATGCATTATGTATGTGTAGTCTAATGTCATGTGAAGTGTAAAGTATGTATGTACTAATTCATGCAAGTATTATGTATAAGATTAATGTCATGTCATATATCATGTATGTAATGTTATGTTTCATGTATGCATTATGGCCTATGAACACCCAGGTCCACCATTAACATAAGAATCTGTACAGAACCAATGTCAAACTGGAATAGCCCCTGTATGGCCATGTAAACGTTTTCATGAAGGCTCAGTAACTCCCGGTGCGCCCTTGTGGGACCCCAGAGAGTTCTTGTATCTATATAGGGGACGGCGTGGGACATTTGCCTGTTTACCTCCGTTAAACACCAGGCGTCCCCGTCCTCCGTCACCTGTCACCTGTCACCTGTGAAACTACCAGGACAGCCAACGTTTCTGGGTCGCACTGTAATTTCTATGTGTTTGCTTGAGGGTTTTACTAAAATACACTTGCATTTTATTTTTGTCATCTGGAACAAGCACAACTCTAACCGTGAAATCAGAAGCAACTGCCGCTACCTCAATTTCCCTCTAAGTCTCAGAAAGTTGAATACCTGATCTTTGAGTTTCTTAAATGCTGTAATCGTCTACTCTGAAAAACTAAACTACGCATTTTACCTTTTTGATTTCAACCAGGGCTCTGTAATATTTGTAAAATCCCTTTTGACACCCCTATATTATGCGCGCACGACGCCAAATGATCATCACTAGTTCCTTTTTCGTATTTGGTGGCAGCTAATGTTTAATTGCTATTACGCTCGTGTGCAAAATTCAGAGAATTTGCAAATTATATCTATTTTTACGAAACGCATTGTAACAACGGTACGAATTATTCCGTCGAAGTATTGTGAAATATTCAGATTCGAATACCTAAGGGTACACGGGTATATGTGTATGTGAGTATGGAAAAGATATAAGCGCGCGAGGGGTTTTGTTAGATTGTAGTCTCGTAATCCTTCATGACATTGTTCATGTTTCTCGGAAGAGTAGAGTAAATTTGATAACGTATAAAGTAAAAGAAATAACCAGGAAGATATGGATGACAGAAAGAGATGGAATATTGTCGGTAGACAGGAAGTAGTCCAATAACAGCAACAGATCCATATAAAACTTAATGTAACAGCCAGTGTCACCTGCGAGTTGTGAAAACATTTTCAGGACACTTGATTCACATCAAAAAGGCATGGTCAAGGTTGACCAACATCCACAACGACAAGTGAGGTTTATTTATTGACAGTTTCATCTCGGGAACACTGGACTGCTATAGCTTTACAGCTCCCATGGGAGCTGAATGCCATCACTAGAACTCGAGTTTCACAGTCACAGTTTGAAGTCTTTTTGAAATAGGGTTGCAAGTCAGAAGACCCGCTGTTTGCATCCTGCTCACTGCGGCAAGTAATACAGCGCGTGTAGCACAATGCAGACAACATGCGCCTTGGGCCATACTTCAGTGGAGCCCTGCACTCTCTACAGACGTGTTAGATTTAGCTTGGACAATGATTCTCAGCGTACCTATATCTGAAGAGAACCTGGAACATGATACCATTCTTCCGTTATCAGAGAAAGGATCATTATCGTGTAAGAGGTGTCAAATTGATTGCAAAACGCCGCAATTTATGGTAGGTAATAAGTTTTTCTTTTTAAATTAGAGTAAGTTTAAACTAGTGTAAGAATAACAAAGGGTAACAAAAGTAGGATAACAAAATTATTATCCTAGTGTAAGGACTACTTGCTGAGATTATGGTCTTAATTCTAGTCATTTCTTCCATGTGTTTTTCAATTATCTCTTATGCAGTTTTTACCAAAAAATTTCTTTTGAGTTTTTATTCTTCACGGAGAACACGTCTTTTGCCCATCTCATCTTTAGCTGTCAACCTTGAAATATGAAAAGCGGATAGTTTCTCCCGCAAAGAACCCGGAGATTTCGAAATGTTTTGCGCTGCAGCGTAGTAACATTTAAAGAGAGCCATAAATTGACTTAAACTCGGTTTAGAACGCATGATTCAGTATATTTAATTTATGTACATTAATATTTAATCAGGTATTCTATTTCTTTAAACTTATAATTATGTAATTAGATATTAAGAATTTTTATGCTTTTTGACTAAATTGTAATTTTCTTGCTCTGTTATACTCAGAATATTCTGAGTGGAAAGAGACCGAATTTACCATATTACTTTTAAGCACTCTGAAATTAAAATCAATAATTAGTATGTACACTGTTGTATGAATAAACTTATCATTGTACCATATATTGATGTAAAACAAAAGTAAATACAAATAGTTCCTGGTTAAACATTGGTTGAAACTTCATATAAATTTCTAAATTTACATGAATTTTATATTATATATATATATATATATATATATATATATATATATGTTTTTCATATAAATTTTCCTTAACATTTTTCTACAGTAGTTTAAGCTTGAGATCCAATAAAATAAAAAAAGAAAATAAGAACAATTATGCAGAAGATAACTAGAAGTAGGGAAATTTGTACAATTTTTTTTCAAGTTCCATTAATTCAATAAATTTCTGTTTTTGTGAAAAGCACTTTCACTAAAGGCTAAAAGTTAAAAACCAGAAGATTTGGTGATCTGATGGAAAATCGGGAGATGTGATGGAGAAACTTGGAGACCCCAGTTCAACTGAGAGATTTGGCAGCTATGACTGCATGTAAGCCCAGATGCTTTATTAAAGAGCGCCGAAAACAAATTTATTAACTTCTGAATCTTTTCTTTATCTTCTAGTGTCAGGAATGTGGTTGCATTGCAAGATATTTCTTCCAGTTGCAGGTCCAGTGATCCAAAAAATTCCAAAGCCAATAGCATACTTTCTTACAAACTCCTAAACACATATAAAACACGACGCATTTCATTTTAAATTCCACCGATTTTAAATCTGCGTGCTTAATATCATGCTGCCTATGCACTCACAGTGCCGTAAAGGCTCCTGCGTCGTAATGAATTCTTTAAAATTTCAAACAATCTGCTCTTTGAAAACATTTATTAAAACATCAAGAATATCTGTATCTCTATACAACAGTTTAGATGACTTCCTTACAAAACGTTCTCAATATGAGATTAATTCCACATTTTTCAACAACCACCATGTTCAGGTGCATTTGAAGGGCTTTCCGTTTATTCTGATGTGAATAACAGCATAGTTCCCTAGTTTAAACGACTCATTTTATTCTTTTCAACGCTTGCCGTTCTTTTTCTGTCATCCCCACTTGGTGGTGTACATTTCGCTTGTTCAACCAGTTATTCTGCCGGTATGCATCCGTAGTTCCAATGCTAGTTCTTCCGCCGAACCTTCGTCACACGATATGGCGTCGTGTGACGATACGGCGAACTTTTCGTCACACGATACGGCGAAAAAATGCCGTATTGTGGTTTGGCGTATTCATGCTTATATGGCAATTTTCATGTTTTAGCAATATGAAATTTAAAAAAAAACATAATTTTACATGAGTAAGGAAACCCGGACTTGCTAAATGCAAGTTATCATGAGTATCTGCTATCTCCTGCCTCCTATAATTACTTTTGGGAAATTTTTATACTCGCTATGAAAATATAAAATTTTAAGAAGTTTGACCTCCTATACGACAAACATTAACAGTATATTTAATTAAAAATTTCCAACTCCTGTTGTCATTTTCAACTTGCCCCGTAAGATCGATTAATTAAGTTGGAATAATTCCAGGAAACAAGTATAAGTAAATTGCAGCAAAAAAATATGTATATACGGCCATATAAAGAAGTCATGTTGTGTCCATAGCTGATTTTTCAAGTTAGTAGAAATAAGAGACTTCTCAAACTCATTAACAGAGGTTTAAATTTATCTCACCTTCAGCTTCTTAGATTTTAGTCTTTTGTATCCTAGACTTAAATCATGTTAACTCAAAACTTATCATAGTAAGAATTCTAAACTGAAACCTACCTTTCGAATGCTAAATTGAAACTATCTTTCTAACCTGATTATCTTTCGAATGCTAAACTAACATTATATTTTCAATCTGATTATCTTTGGAATGCTAAACTAACAGTATCTTTTCGATCTATCTTTAGAATGCTAAACTAAAAATCGTTTTCACTGACAATTTAGGGAAACCATTTTATTAATGTCCAATAGAAGAATTCACTAAAGGAGGAAAGCAATTGTTGCAGTTTTTAGTTGGCGTGGATCTGAAGTATCTCCTTGTAGCGCCCCTATGTAATCCAATCTAAATTTTGTGAGGAGAATTAAGCTCTGTTTAATGTTAATCTGTATTTATTCTTGAGATTGTTACCCTTCCATCTTAACACTTCCTTAATTAATAAAAATTATTTAGTAAATGCCAGAAAACTTGAGCTTTACTCAGGTCATTACATGTTGCAGAAATGATCTTCCGTATTTAAGAGATTTAATCGTACGCTACTCTTACTATCTTTAATTCTTATTTTCTTAATAAATACAATATGTTGAAAATGTATTATTAAATTTGTTTTATTATTAGAAACCGATTTTAAACCTTACTTTTATTAAAATATTTATTATTAAATAATATTTTTTTCCCATTTTGTGAACATTCTTATATGAAAGTTTAGATAAATTGCAGATTCGGATTCGAGAAAAAATTTCGTCTTAGTTCTTAATTTAAATATGTCTCTGTATGTTAAACGAAGACTGTTGCACGTAATTGAATAAGTTTACAGCAAAATAGTATTTCTGTATTTTTTCTTTCTATTTATTCCTGGCTTGAGTTTTGAAACATATGCTGCGCTTACATTTTAGAATTGTTTTAATCTGCATAAACTTGTGCACGTTTCTTATATGCTTACGACATTGATTAACAATATAGCTTATGTGTTAAAGCGATTTTTTATTTCACCAAGCCTTTGAAACTATTAAATTATTATTTTCATCATTAAGTATTTTTTCTATTTTTCTGAAAGTTTACGAACTAAGACTGCCGCAGAGATCTCCCTCTGTATTATTATATTATAAATAATGGGGCGAAAAAGAATGCTTTTATGATACGAAATTACAGAAATTCAAATAGATTTTCAGTTTAATTTGTTTTGTACATTGTAGTAAGTTGATATTCATTTCTTTAAATCTGTAATTTGTACATTAAAATCACTGACTATTAAATTTTTTATTTTGTATGTAGAATTTTATTTCCTGTTTCAAATTCTTATTGATTTTTTAAGCTAAAGAAACACGCTTCACTTATTTCTGATACTAATACTCATTATGCAGTTGCTTATGTGGTCCCAGAACGGATCTTAATAAGCTAGCCAAGAACATAAAGCCGCTGAGGCACGTGAATTAAATCCAGGAAAGGTTAAAAAAGTGAGGTAAAATTGAGAAGACTACTGTCGCCTTTACTCCATGTGTTCCAGTCTATTGGAAAGCGATGAAAGATAAAAGAATAAGTAAACAACTAAACGTTGGCAGTCAAATGTAGGTTGTGATCCTCAGGCATGTGAGTAACAAAGGGTATGATCAAATTACCTTTTAGAAGGATTTGGTTAAAAAAAAAAAATCTGAAGCATTTACAGCATCTCAGCGCCAGTTTGGAAGTAACGCTTATTAAGTCGAGTAATGTGGTCGATTATAGAGTTTTTTCAAGTCTTTATAAAACTCATTTCTGAGTTAAATCTTCTAATTAGATAAACCTATCACCGAAGAAATGACAGAGAATAATAATAATTTTACGAAACTTGTATAATTGGAGTAATTTCTGATATTGCTGAAAAATTTTATTTTGAAACAAAAATTTACTAATGTTTAATCCGGAATTAAGTTGCAATCTCAGTAATAATTACTCGCATGTTTTACATTACGATAAATTTAAGCTACCTTTGAACGATTTAATATGAGGTAAGAAAAAGAAGAGAAACCCATGTCAAATCATCTTAGATATTGACAGAAAACGACTTGGATTATCACAGATCAAAATCTGCAGCAAAATAAATTTCTTTTTGATTAACTTCAAAATTTACGCGACCGGGTTTCTCTTCCAAGTAGACAGTTGTTCTACAACAATTATTCTCTTAATCTTATGTTTTGTAGGAGAATAATAAACGCACACAACTATTTACAATGACGTGACAGCTGACGGAGGACGGGAACATCGGATGTCTAACAAAAGTAAGCAGGTAAGCGATTCTCAAACATTTTTGCCCCCCCTGACCAGTAAAATTTACCAAATATTTTTTTAGCATTTAGCATTTCGCGGATCGGTGGGTTTCCGTCCATCCCCAAAAAAGTTACAATGTATTCAAGAACTACTCAATAACTCAATCAATTACTCAAGAATTACAAGAATAACTATTTAAGTTATTTGTAACATTCTTATTATCGTTTGCCTAAAATAATAATTAAACGTAAAGATAAGTAAGTATTATTATGTATAATATAATTACATACAAGTAAAACAAAATTGAGAAAAATCTCAGGAACTTATAAAATTAATCATAAAATCATTGCATGTAACAAATGACGGTCCGCTGAACAAGCGGTTGAGAAGCCTTGATCTACCATACTGAAGCAACATTTAGCAACATCTTCACGTCGCTTTTCCTTTGCTCAAGTGGCAACAGCTGAAATAATCGGAATTCATAATAAGAATTGAATTTCGTTAAAAAATCTTCATTGTCATTTGCTTAATTTCTGTTTTCTTCTTACTAAAATTATTCAAAATGATAGGTCCATTTATTACACTAATAATACAATTGCCATTATTCATCAAATTTAAAAGAATAATAATCGTTTCTCCACTAAAAAGTAATATGTATCATTTAATATGTGTACTCGTTACCCTCAAATACAATTTCGTGGCACCACGATAGGTCCTCTAATACTAATAAACGTAAATTAAATAGATAACAACAGACGCGATGAAAAAGCTTGAGCTAATGCTTTGCGCAGTACGCATGAAAACATAACCGTTCCCAGATTTTAATATTTTTCTTTTGTAAACGACGGTAGGTATATTGTTTTAATGCTTCTGAATTTGGAAGGACCAGAGGTTGAGAAACACTGTATTAAAGTGCAAAAACTATCTTACTCCTACAAAACATACATCACCTGTTATCAAAAATATCTCACTTGATTCAAAATTTTCAGCTAAATATACTAATTATACGCAAAAAATACTAATTATACTAATGGTACGCTAAAAATACTAATTATTTCAAAAATGATGATCAATTTTGATTTCATGTATTTTGATTCCCTGTACATATTAAAGAAATATCAGATATTGGAACGTGCATTTTAATGAACGAATATGAGTAAATGTCACATACCTTTGCACCTTTTACCCAAATATGGACCAAAGCCCGGGCGACATTGACAAATATTCTTTCCCTCATCGTTCACAGCGCATGTACCCCCTATGCGTATATAAAATGAAAAATATATTTAGTTACATGCATCAATCATTATTAACATTGTTTGAATAAAACATTTCAGAATTTTTACAGAAAACAAACACTAAATTAATTTAATTAATTATTTTCATTAAAATTTTTTTAAAAAAAACTTCCGTAGAAAAGCAGACAAAGAATCACACTCAACCGCATTCTTTTTAATTTTATAAAGCATAATTTTGAATGTATTTTTTCCTAAAATTGTCTTCAATTCTACAGATTTTTTTTTTCATTGGCAAAGCGCATATAAATTCAGAAGTCAAACAACAAAAATCAATTCGAGCTGTGACTCCGAGATAGTGGGTTGTGCTTAATATTTGGATACTGACCCAGTCCCGTAGGCAGTCGAAAAAGAGCAAACTCCACCCCCAATAGTTTTTAGCAAAGCGAAGTGGATTGGCCGAAAATTCATGAAATTCTTATCAATACCTGCAGTGAAGAATTTGAAGCCGATATGAAGATGAAACTGCTATATGTTAAAGTCAGTAGACGATTACAGAAAAGCAACTCTGGTTTTACAGAAAAGAAGTATACCATTTCATACTTTCAATTACTCAGCAAAAAACCTATTAAGGTTGTCCTTAATGGCCTCCCATCGACGATGAAGGAAGAAATAATACAGGCAGACCTGGAGAAAAGGAAATTCCCGATAAGCAAAGTAAAGCAGTTTACCAGACGTAGAGGGAATGTTATCGAGAAACTTCCGATATTCCTATTGGATCTGAAGAAAACGAAGGAAGGACATGCTATCCATGGACTCAATAATATGCTAAGTGTTAATGTCAAGATTGAGAAGTTTGCCCCCAAAAGACGAGTGATCCAGTGCTACAGATGTCAAGAGTACGGACATTCGCAGCATCTCTGCTCAAATCCTGAGCGATGCTGTAAGTGTGGACAGCAACATAAGAGTAAGGAATACCCATTAAAGCCTGATGAAAAACCAAAGTGCATTTTCTGCTCACTGCCGCATGTAAGTTCCTGCAGGGGTTGCCCCGTGTGCAAGAAACGCTTTGAAGGAAAAATGCAGCATCTAAGATCCCCACTCCGGCGGACTTTCCGAAACTCATTGAAGCAGAGGAAGACAGCAGTAAAAATCAGAAGAAACCTCTCTACAGCGATAGAGTGAGAAGGAAATTGGAACCACCACCTAATGATTATAAAGAAGCCATAGACTGAATTCAAGATCCCAAAATTAGCAGATTTTTGAACAGCATAGTTGAGCATGTAGAAAAGATCCGCGCTGCAAGAACCACGAAGAAGTAAGAAGTTTACTGCCGGGTGCAAAGCAGCCGTGACTCTGATGAGGTTTGCTGAAAATGAAGATTAATCATCAGCTTAGAAGCAAATGAGGAAATTCCACCAATTTTTATGATTTTTACCGTTTTTTCTAACACACGGGTTCCTCTGTTTGCAGTAGCAGAGCTCGGGGATAGTACTTGTGTGTGTGGGTGACCACCGACGTGACTGGTCTCGACGTATCATCTTTCTTCAACTAGTGAAGATACATCACAGCTTCTACTGCGGCCAATGAAGAACCAGATGCTTGAACCCTCCTTCTCCTAAGTCTATTTGTCCAACTCACGTGCATTAGCATATGTTCTAGCTTCACCTTCATCGGTGCGGTGTAAATCACTCTAATTTTCTAATTCTTCCCAACGCCATATCTCCAACAGAGAGGGTTAAAGTAGCAGAGGCTACTAAATGCCGCCTAACCACTCACTCGATTTCGATTTCGACAAAAATCAGCATTATATTTTCAAATTTTCACAGGATTAGTTTCGATGGTTTTAACGAACCACCATCTTCAGCTGCAAAATCGCAAAGGAACGAGATAGGATATATAATGATTAGATAAGAAAGCCTGGACAGAAAATTAGCTAGTGGCGCCATCTGTTGATGAAACCAGAAATAAAACATAATTTCTTTAAAGGCCGAAGGCAAAGATGGAAAATATAACGCTGATTTTTGTTGTTTGACTTCTGAATTAGTATTTGTTCGGAGTGTTATTGTGTCTTAAAGCACATATTTTTAGATATAGCCAACAGAATAATCCGAGACTTGAATTTCTTCACAGTTAATAAACAAAAGTTAAAAATAAATTAATTTTAATTTACCTGAAAGGTGTATGATCTTCTCCTCCTCATTCCAAAATTCTGGTATAGCTATATTGTACGATAATATTTAGTAAAAATCATATTTGCCTTTTATTTATTTTAGTTCTATCTCCTAAGATTTATTGGAAATATTTGAGGTCACTGTAAGTAGAAATTTACCCTAATATTTCCTGACATAAAACTCGCAGGATACATATGGAAATCCTGAACAATTATCCCTATAACACGATAATTTCCCAATGCTATGTTAGAAAACTGAAAATCATACTGAAAGAAAACGGTTTGTATTATTATCGAAATTATCAATAATTTCATTCGAAAAATAAACATGAGCTACCAATTGTGCACTGACGTTAGGAATGATCAAATACTTTACCGGAATTCAGTTATTTCTCAGTGAAGACTATACAGTTTTCACATTATTAAGATGACGCAGAATTTTTAATTAGATTTCAATTAAATTCTTCGTCAGACGGATATGTAACAGATATGCAAGCCTATAAAGTCTGAATGGATCCTCACTCGCTCAGTAAAAGTTTTCCTAAAGAGCTATTACTTTGAAGTTCGGTGAGGTAATGTTTAAAGAATGAGAGATGAAAGAAGACCTCTGTTCTAATGCAGTGATTACTATGATCGATAGTTCCAAGGGCAATCTTACAGTTACGCAAACATGAACCAAACAGACCGGCAGAAGCGTAAAACTCACATTAGTTACAGATTTCTGTACTCATTCCTGGTTCTTTTTATTGCACTGTATTCTGAGATTGTTGTGCTGCATTTTCATGACGAGTTCAGTCTTTCAGATAGTGTTTTAAAAACGCATGGAAATTGCTAAACGTCTGGTTGGTCGACAAAATTTCTGCTGAAAATTTCCATCTCCAACTGATCCGCTGTTCGCCACAAATAACGTATGATTTGCACGTTGTTATCCTGTTGTCATAAAATTAAGTGCCAATAGAGACGAAGAGAGCATCAAGTACAAATAATATCGAACAACGAGCCAGAATATAAAATTTGATAAAGGGGCGTGATCAATTGTTACTTGTGCAACAAGAAAATATCGCATAGGCTCTGTGATTTCCTAGAAGAAACTACAGAAAAATACACAATATAAAAGTATACAAAGAATGCTATGTACAAAGGATGCTATTTACAACGTGTTCTGTATGAATTTCTCTAAACATGCACTTAAAGTCAATCATAAAAGCTATGTACACATTTACAACATGCTAATTGAAGGCCATGGTCACGTGGGTGATCACCCATCCAGGTGCATGTTCAGTGAAATGTCTGCTTGATTTTCTAGGGACAACTCTTAGTGCAGGGCAGCTCTGTCCTGGCTACTTGGCCTTGCAGTCTGAGTTCCACCCCAGCTGCATTTCATCACCGCTCTGCAAATGCAAAAGCAATTTACACCACAGGTCGTAACAAGTCTAAATAGAAAGGTCTTTTCTTTCGCTTAGGAGGAAAACCGTATATCGATGTTCGTATCTGCACTCATTCAGGATCTTGCAAATTAAGCACGCGTGTTAATATTGAATTAACACGCGTGCTTACATTCACGGAAACTGTTGAAGAATTTATCATTAGTAAACTGCAGAAATTTACCCATTGAGTCAATTTTTAAAATACCATAGAAGCGTTCTCTGCCACAAAATCGCAAGCATTCGTAATTATTAAAAGAAATCTACTTTACACCATTTGAAGCTCATTACTCTCCATACATGTGGCGGTAGTGCAGGTAATGTCCTGAAGCTTTTTGATTTTGCTCCAGCTTTGGGGTAAGGATCACTTTAACTGTTATCCATTGCATGCATTGCTTAGAGAAATGCAAGGTAAAGAGGCGGGCATTCATAATGCTGGTGATTTTACTCACAGTATTTTTTTTTAAATTTTGGAAGCGGCATTTGAAATCCAGTGATTGCTTGGTTTTTTTTTTCAGCCTGAATGTTTTAATTGATTTCATATATTTCGGTGGGAGCGGTGAGCTTGATAATGTTCCTCGCAGTAGGAGAATTCAGTTAGGAACCCGTAGGAGAGTCTTTAATTCAATAAACTGATCAATCAAGTCAAAATCTACTGGATAATCATTTGGTGTGGACTCGGTCTCTAAATAAGATTCAATATATGAGCTTTTTCCTAATTAGTTGTGGCGTTTTTTGTTGGTAAAATGTAGTAAATGTTTACTAACGAAGGAACACTTCATGTTTTTTTATCGATATTCCAAAATGAACGGTATCTAGTGTCCAAGTTTAGCATTTTTATCTTGCAATAAATCCTTTTTACATTCATTAAGAAGTTTCTGAACCTTTTTATTCAGTTTGTTAAATTGTCGGTTTGCGGAAGTCTCATGCGAGTTACGTTTTTCTAAGCCTATTTCTTTGCCGTATCGGAGAGATATTTGCATAGGCCCAATAGATTTTCTATCTGTTCGTAGTAGCCTTGCTTGCCTCAAGGATAGTATCATGAATACTACGTGTGAGAATACAGCCCTGAGTCGACACTAATTACAGACTGAAGGCTGTCAACTGAAGCGGCCGATCTTTCATCAGATTTTCAAAAAATCTTGAGTCGATAATAATTTAGAACAGTTCGGAACAGATTTTGGGATTCCAAGAATTACAACGATAGGGAGGAGATCGGAGGTAAGTAATTCCGTTGCAAATTGAACTAAATGTTATGCTGCCATACAGCTATTTTAAAGAAGATTTTTCCAGCACCTTAATGAGTAATGGAAGGGTATGACCAAAGTGAGAAGTCATTTCTTTGAAGCTTTGATGATATATTGGTTTAAAGCAGGAGATGAAACTGCTTGCTCTTACCAGCACCGTATAATGTTCAGATGGGAGCATGAGATATA